AGGTGCATAATAAGTGTTTGGGATAAAATCATTTTAATATTCAACGTTATAACAGACAAAACATATTTTTAGTACTTTGTATTTTTAATAATATTAAAATGGTATTTCGATGTTTTAGAAAATATTTTTTTGATACACTGAAATTGATTTTAATATGTAAAATGATCTTAGTACATTTTTATTTAATTAATAAAAAACTAATAGATTAAAAAAAATCATGAAATTTTTTATTTTGTTATTTTCTTTTTTAATTTGATTTGATTTTTATTTTGTTATTTGATTTTTAATGTTTTAAAATATTTTTAAATTTTTTTTAAATATTAATTTCTATTTAATTGATAAAAATGGTAATTTGGACATTAAATGTCCCAAAAATTAGTTTTAAGGTACCGAGAAGATGTTTTTAAAAATATCAATATATCATTTTTATATTATAATAAGCATAGAATATTTAGAGCATATTTCGCTATAATACAGAGTACTAAAATGATTTTATGTCGGAGGGTTAATTACTAGGCTATACCTCACTGCCTTTTCTCCCCTAATACAATTGTTACTCGCGGACTGCATGACAGCAAATTAAGCTAAAAGAAAATTGTATTTTGAGAGCGGCTGTGTTACATTCAAATTTTTGTTGTGGAGGACGACATGCATAAATTGTGTTTAATTGAATAGAATATAAACATGATAGGATACTGTTCTTTTTTTTTGACAAATAAATATATTACGGGGTATGATATCTTATATTAGTCCAATGTCTTAAAAAAAATTATAAAATCAAACTACACCGCAAATTTATAACAGTGGAGTTGAAAATTTTTTTTTTTGAAATATTTTAGCAATAGGAAATTACATAGTAATTATTATAGTGAACGTTTTATTCTATAAACTTATGTAGTAATTATTTTAATGATGTTCATTCTTATTATTTGTAAAACATTTTAAATATTTTGCTGTATTTCAACATAACTAGTATAATTTTGTCATCAATGTAACTTTCTTTTTTTTTTTCTTTATAAACTAACACATTTCATAGTATTAGCTACGTAATATATCAAAGCACCAAAACTAATTAAAGAAACCTTTCAAAAATAAATAAATAATCATATAGTAGTCCATGACCTAACCTCTCTCCCTCCAGAAAATAAAAAGCAGAAAAAACAAACAGGCACATGGAGAAATAGTAAACAAATTACCTTTGACAGATAAATAAATCAATCATAAATTAAAGAGCAATAAAAAAAAAAAGCAAGCTTAATTGGACTAGAAAATGGATTATAAGCAGCTGGGAGATCAGAAGAGAAAGGAAAATTGAATTAAATTATTACCAGGGTCACCATTAACAGCACTAATGAGCTGCAAAGTAACTCCATTGCCCAACAACTCATGCACTCTATCCATGATTGAAGCCTGAAAGTCATTGAAATCCAACACATTCTTCTTCATCAACACCACAGTCCCTTTGATCTTCTTCTTCTTCTTCTTCTCGTCATCCGCGTTCTCGCCGCTAAATCGCTTCACAAGTTTGCTGAGCAACATTTTTCTTTTATAATTTTGATAATTTAAGAGTTTCTGCAAAGAAAGTTGCAAAAGAATGAAAGAAGAGTGATTAAATTGGTGATGAAGAACAAGGAGAGATAATGAGTGGTATCTATATATATATATATATATATATAGATGGAAAAGGTGAGCTTTGTATCATGGCAATATTGCAACTTGTCTATTATTTTATTTTCGAATTTTACAGCTAAAGTATGACTTGGACTTTCCCAATGCATCTAAAATAATATATGCAAGCCCAACGTGACACCATTTTAAAATTGTAGTTATTATATATTGAGCTTCTATATAGTGGTATCATATTCGTATATAATTTATTTCCTTGCAAGTTGCACATTCCGAAAAGTTTTTCAGAAGAAAAAAAAAACTTATAATCTTTGCTTAATTATATTAAATTTTTATTTAGATCTTCTTTGTTATATCTCTTCATGAGTCCCACTTATGTCACTACTCACATCTACTAATGTTATTCTTTATATTTTCTTACTTTTTTCATACGTTTCCAATTTTATGTTGACAGATATTTAACGATCTTCTTTGACTTGACAAGATAGAATATAATGTTTAGTACTGGATATATTATAGTTTTGATTACGTGTGAAATTGTTTAATAATTAAAAATCGCATGAATACTCTTTTTTTTTTTTTTAATACTTGGTGCCTATGTAGAGTACATATTTTGATTCCAATTATCTATTGAATAACATTTTCTTTCTTTTGATTTATTAGAATTTGTTATTAGTTTTCTCGTGCCCAATCTAAGTGGGAAACAAACAACATAATGTTAATTACATATTCCTTTTTTGCTAATTAAATGTTAATCGTGGTCATTAAACAATCACACAGAATCACAAAGTTCTGACAAAATCAAAATGTTATGATCTGTCTCTCTCTATATGTAAATATATATGTATATATATATATATATGTATGTATATATCATGTGTGTGTATGGCTTTCAATTTTTTTGCTCGAAATTTGGTTTGAACTAAAGAGGCTTTGTTTTCAAATTCTCAATGTAGAATTAAGTATAATAATGCTATCAAAGATTCTCAAAGATCATCTGAGTTTAAAATTGGCCATGTTTTCCAAAGCTAGATAATGTATAGGGGAAAAAAGAATTAAACTAGGAACAAATAAAAATATATAGCGTGGACAACGTATACATCGGTCGGGCTATATATAATGTATGCACATATACATATACAAATCTTGTCTACGTTCCCACCATCATTACATATGGAAATAAAAAAATAATATGACATTTATTGAACGTAATACAAATATTATTTAACATAACATTACATTTAAATGAATATTAGAAAGATGTACACCAAAAAATTTAACATAAAATGGATGTTAAAAAGATGTAATGATAGTCAGAGATAATTAATTATCTTGGTGTCTAACATCTCTAACATCTTGTTATGTTTTTTTTTTTAAAGATGATAGGACCGTTCTACGTTCTACCGATAAGACCATAGACAAATCCTATATATATTCCTCTTAAAAAAAATGTATATACAGTTGACAGTTAGCCCGGTCAACGTATGTTGATCTTGTCTATCTACAAGTTTTATTGAGTAGGACAACACTTTGTATAGGCGGACATATGTAAGAAATTTTTATAGGTATTGTTGTTTTAGTTGTTAAAAAACTGATTGATGAATGAGAATAATTTTGTGTCTTTTAAATTTTTGAATAGGACACTAACTATTTTTTTTTTTTTTTTTAAATTAAGCTAACTTGAATATCTGTCCAAATGAACTAGACTACATTGAGAACCCATAAAGACTTAAAAAACCATGACGCTCGTTATATTTATTTTTTAGGGCAAAATAAGTGCTCTCTTTTAAGGTGAAATGAATAAGAGTATAATAAAATCTCGATAAATGAATGTTTGATAAATTAATAAACTCGATTAAATAATAAAATTTTTCAGTCCCGCTTTGAGCCAATGAATTAAGATAATAGTTTTTTTTTTTTTCAAATCCTTTAAGGTCCAGCGAAAATATAAACTAATAATTAATCAAATACAAACAAATAATGATAAATAACATATAAAAATCATCATATTTAACAGTTTTTTCTTCAAAGTATTAAATTTGAAAACTACATACATCTATTTTATCTATGTATGTACTTATTAACATTTTATATACAATATACTTACAATATTATTTATTAGATACATGATAACTTTTAAAATTCTATATCTAAACTTATTAATTTTGACTACATCCACTAATTTTCTTTATTTATAACTCATACATGAATCTTAGTGAATGGAATAATACATGTATCAAGATGGCACAAATTATTAAAATTAAATCCTTTTTAAGTTAAAAAAATATTCATTTATCGATAAATTAGTGACGTCTTAGTTTCAATAATATTAATTTATAGAGGTTTTACAAAGAAGAACAGAAGAACTAAGTAAGAGGTAGCTTTTCTGATATATTAACGCTGATTAGAGAAAGATATAGGAATTTTTTTTTTGTTTGACTTCGCCCTCAAGCATTCACGATTCATATAGTTTCCGGTAAAACCTTTTTTTTTTTTTTTTTTTTTTTTTTTTTTTTTTTTTTAAGTAGACACAGAACTCAGGCACTTGGTCTCCCTTGGCGTGAAACAATTTAACCCACAATGAAATATTTATCTAATAGCTTTTATCCTACCGTTGCTTCTCATTATCTTTTGGGGGACTTTCTTTCTTTTTCAATGCCAGAAAGGCTTTAATAAAAGCATATTAAAGCTTCCACATTTTATTTATGGGATTTTTACATTATGAAACATATTGCTCAAAGCAATTTATTTAGTAATACAAAAGCCTGAGGCCTTTGTACACACACATACATGAAGTTCTTACTTCATCAAAGTGGAGAAGAAGCTGAAAAACAACATACAAACTATGAAACATGACACAAAAACACACGGACACTTTTAAGAACAACACAAGGAGAGAAACTTCTTATATTGAGATGCTGTTGGGAATTCCTCTGGCAGTTAGTCCTTCCTTACTTGAAGGCACAAGCAAAGTGTACGGAAACTTGACTGGACCGACCCGATTCTTAAGATTAGCATCATTGTTCCTGCTCAGAATTCTGTCCTCAATTTGAGCCAGTTTCTCCCCAAACTTCTTAAAGGCCTGCAACGGTTCAGTTTCCGCAGTCCAGTCCTTAGTGTCCCTTTGGCCAAGATAGACCTCATCAGAAGCATGCCTTGACAGAATCTCGATGAGGGAAACCCCGAGGATGGCCATCAGTTCCGAGGTAATTGTCTTAAAGAAGGCCTTGTCGGGGTTTGTCTTAAGCTCCTCGTATTCTGGAGTGCCCTCTTCAGGGATGAATCGGCGGCTTACTGTGGGGCGGTTTGGAAGGAACCCTGCATACGGGTATTGTCCAAAGTTGACCGCGGCATGGAGGGCAGAAGCAATCCATACGAGTGTGGTTGATGATTCCACCAGCTCATGACGGGTATGCAGTTTGGGCCACCAGGGCTCATTCTTCTTGTCGCCGTGACCGACCTCTCTGAGTTCCTTCCACCATGCCTGAAGTTCCGTGTCTTTCTTAACAGCGTCATCGCTCTTATAGTAGAAAGCGATGTACTCTTCAACCCATTGATATATTGCAGACCAGATCTCAAGCCCATCTACCGCAAAGGGGTAGTCCGGTATCAGCAGGCGAAGACCACGCGGAGCGCTCGAATCCTTGACTGCCACTCCTCTGTGCATTGTGAATTATATAGCGTCATTAGAACAAGAGCTCATTGAGCCACACGGTAAACTTTTTTTCCTTTTTTCAAACCAATTCAAGACTTTAGGCCCGGCTTAATTTTGGTTACGTTGTGTATTTCATAGTATGTTCTTACTGTTGGTTTCACCAATCTGATATTCGTTTTTAGTCGGCTTCCATAACCAAGTAAATCATAAATCATGAATTCAAGTATGTACTAGACTTGAAAGATCTTACCTCTTAATGAGATCTGCTGGGAGTCCTTGCTCAGTGAAAACCCAGTTCTTCTTATAAACTACAGCCGACATCTCTAACGCGAACTTCCCAGGAAAAACGGTTTTCTCCAGAATGCCTCCGGCGTTGATGAGAGTCTGCCTGGCAAGTGCATTTATGAACATAGTGTCACGGAAGTGAGGCTGCAAGAGTTTGTAAATCGGATGGATTGTGCTCAGCTGCCTGTTCGTTGCTATCACAAATGGCTCAACCACAGCATGCGTATTCAACCTATTGATTCAAAAATAAAATAAAATAAAATACTTAGAAAAATATTTGAAACAAATTGCAAATCAAAACAGAACTTCTGTGATCAACTTGCTTTGACGGAATCATACCAGTGACTAATGAGCTGATGGTAGCCAGAATCATTTACAGCTGCATAAGCCTTGGCCAATGTCCAAAGGGTCCCTTCAACGCCTTCTGAGGCCGGGGTATATACTTTGCTAACCGCACCATACCGATCACTGTCTTTATGCGGTAAGCTTAATTCAATGGCCAATGGCTTCAAAGTGCCATCGTTTTTCAGGAAAAACAGTGTTCTGGTGGCATAAATCTTGGTAGCAGTCGTGTTTATCTTTGGTAAGCTTAATTCAATGGCCAATGGCTTCAAAGTGCCATCGTTTTTCAGTAAAAACAGTGTTCTGGTGGCATAAATCTTGGTAGCAGTCGTGTTTATCTTCCTCAGGTATGGCATAAACGCATCATGGTAGTCCAATATATATAACTTGTTGTCATATAGTGCCTGTTAAACCATAATATTGGAAATGCGTTAATTTTTGTATTAAGAATGCATCAATTAATTTTTCATGTAATACATCACACTCTGTGTGTGTGTGTGTGTGTGATATGAACTCTTCTGCAAAAAACCACGGTAGGACTATTACCTGGTATACGTTATACCCTTCCAAGTTCTTTTCAATGAGGTCTTCGGTAATTTTACTATTCTGATCCCCATACAAACTCGGGTCCAATTTGCTCGTCGGTGGGAATTCCTGCAGTGAAATTAGTGCAGACAATTATGAAACACAAAACAAGAAAATGAAGTTCACTCATCACAGAAATAGGTCCAGTATTGTTGCTAATTATTTTATTACGAAATTACTTCGAGACGACGAATGACGACAGGGTTCACTCCAGCCACTGTTTCTCTTGCAAATTCAGCATCAGTCCTCCATGCCCATTTATCCTCTGATCCAAATTATTGAGACGCCACAATTAGATGAAGTAAAATAGCAACCGAAAGAATAAATGTGGAATCTCATCGACGTAGAGTGATACTGTAAGCGCCAAATTATAGGCCGCAGAAATAAGATATAGCCCTGCAGCAGTACCTTTAATGATGTCAGGCTTAGGGAATTTGGGGAAGTTTTCACCATCAGATCGGAAAATTTCCTTAAGCAGCTCCAAAGGCATGCTTTTCCGGATTGCATCGAGCACTTGAGGTGGTAGCTTAAGTCCTCCCTCAAACATGTCAAATAGTTCTTTGAAGCTATCAATCTCTTCAGTGCCATCAAAATATCCTTCCAGCGCAGGTCCGATGTCTTGAGCTAGAAATTTCAGTCCGTAAGCAAGGAAGTCCGACATCTTCAAGTGACCAAATCGTTCATCTCGTGGAACATAAACGGATAAACTCAGCGGAAGAGGTATCCCACTCTCGCAGCTAGAATCTGTGCAAACATAAAAACACAAATGATAACAATAAGAACAACAACCAAAATCCGAAATTCTCAATTTGTCACTACTAATAATATCTAAGTTTTGATAGAAATATCAAACCTGTCCTGGTGGGTCGTCTTCCAGTTCTTCCTCTGCGAGGGTAAGGGAACTCGCTAGACCCTCCGAGGGTTTGGCGAGCATCCTGTGGACCCTTATCAGGATTACCCAAGTCATTGTAGAAAGCATAGTCATAGACTCTATCATACTCCTTGAGCTCCTTTGTTCCATCCCCTCTCAAGTTCACCAGTTCTTGTTCTCTGTAAAAGCGCAGTGGCTCCGGTGTTTCACTAGGAAGATAGGACTGCAAAAATGCATTTCACCGCACATCTTCAGTTTATCTTCTTACTTTCTATATCATTACTCTTTTTTTTTGGATGGCTCCGGTGTTTCACTAGGAAGATAGGACTGCAAAAATGCATTTCACCGCACCATCTTCAGTTTATCTTCTTACTTTCTATATCATTACTCTTTTTTTTTGGTTATCCAAATCTTGTTTTCTCTGAAATTACACTAACTATTTCACCAAGCAGTTAGCAGAACAACTAGTATAAACGAATAGCCGGGTCAATCTTTCAATTATTTCAGTGGGAAATTTCATCAAATGCTTGGAAGGAAAGTTTCCTTTCTCCTTGATAAATACCCAAAAAACCGTTTTACTCTCTGGTGCGTTAATTGAACCGTAAAGAAATTTAATGAGAAAAGTGATAAAATTGAAAAGTAAAGTAAATGAATAAGAATATGGATCATTGATTCTCATTCTAGTGTTTACTAGTCTATTTGATCGTGTGTAATGAGAAACAGTTCAATTCTCTAGTGTTTATCAAATTCAGCAATAACAATCTTGCCAATGTAATCACAAAAATTTTGCTTTATACAATCAAATAAATATATTGATCATATTTTTGTGAATAAAATAATTATTTACTTACAAATACGAAATTATGTCCCTCAAACTTATTAAGCGCATGTAAGGAGATAGATATGAGAAATGAAATATGAATATTATTAATACCTTGTTACTGAAGAAGATACGATCGTAGTCGTAACGTTCTTTGGGGTAGACCCAGGAGTTGCAGACGAAGACGATGTCTTCGCCGAGCTCTTCTTTGAGGTGAAGAGTGATGGTCTTGAGATAGAAAGGGTTCTCGTGGCTGTTCCTGACAATGATGGCGCCGGGAACTCCGATCTGGTCGTCCCATTCGAAGGTGACGCTGTATTTGGATTCGCCGTTGAAAATGGGTGA